GGGGTGTTTTTGGGTTTTCCACTATGGAACCACATGTTGCCTTAAGGTAGTTCCATCTTTTCCACATTAAGTGAGAGGCAGGGCATTAAAATACTGATCATCCACCAGCTCTTGTTCTAAAAGGAGATAGACCAGGCATCCGCAAACTACAGCCCGCAGGCCACATGCGGCCCACCTAGGACATTTATCCTGCCTGCTGGCTGTTTTTGCTGCCACTGCCTGTCCTGCTTAGCAGCTGACTCATCCGGGGGCCCTCAGTCTGGCCCTCCAACAGTCTGAGGGACAGTGAACTGTCCCTGTTTAAAAAGTTTGAGGACCCTTGGGATAGACCCTCCTGCTTTGCAACAATTTCAGCACTTTCTTTGAGAGACCCAGTTGTTTTTTTTTTCTTCCTAAATCTGTATTTACAGCATTATTTTGTGTCTGAGGGATGTTTGAATTTTAGCCTATGTGGTTACTTGAAACTTTCCTTCCAGCTGTGTGTTTTGTTTCCTTGTCATAAAAATAAAGAGAAGGGGAGGATTCCCTGTGAAAACTATGCTGAGAATTAAGTAGATTATTGATGCCCAGGAGATAGTGGAGGGTGTCGTGTGACAGTTTTCCTCTCTCCCCCAGGGCTTGAAGCACGGGATGGTGATGATGTTTCTGGCGTGTTGAGATCTTCGTTCTTTGAGTAGGACTGGGTTTAAATACTGTGTCCACAGGTGCAATAAGTCAGCTTTGCACGGCCATATCTGCAGTCTGTGTGTGGGTGACTTGTTGTCCGGGAAATAGAGTTAAAAGCAAAATCACTTCCCAACCCAGAAAACCCTCCACAAACAAGGAAACAAAAGAAAAATGCTTTTGTTCTTGAAGAAGCATGAAACGGGACTTAGGTGTGCCTCCCAGGCAATCTGATAAAAAGCTTGCAAGGACAAGAAGAAATCACAGATTTTTATGGAGCTGAGTGCCCCAGTCACATCATGCAGATAGAATGGCTGATTTTCTTGTGTCTTTAGGATTTGGGTTTTGCAGCATGGGGCCAGTTGTCAGCTTAACTTGTGGGAAATGGGGACACAGGGCTTTGTGTTCCTTGATATACACATTTCTGAGCTGGTTCCCTGTATCTCTGGAAACATTTCTGGGCTGTGAGACTTGCCTGGAGCATGCCTGGAAGTTGCCTTTATACTGGTGTGAGTATGTGTGTGTGTGCAGGTGTGTGTATGCCTGTGTGCAGGTTTGCACGTCTGTGCCGGTGTATACATATATGTGCCTGTGTGTGCAGGTTTGCACAGAGTTGGGTGGTAATTTCTTGCGGGGAGAGAAGGACGGCTTGGCCACAGGTGCAAACTTGCTCCTAGAATTGTATGAAAGCAAGAAACGACTACCAGCTCTGGGTGGCAGGTAGCAAATCATCTTTACTCATGACTGCCTTTTATAGTAAGCTAGTCACGTACACCACATTAATCAATAATCTTAACATTCTCTATTCTTATCTTAGACTATAGAAAAGACAGAAAGTCTGGGAAAGTAAGATAACTAACTTCATAGTAGCCTCAAGCTGTTCCTCTAAAGATCTGAAACAACCCTGCATTATTTGACTTCCATTGTCAGAATTAAAGGTCAGGACAAACAGGGAAGTAAAACTTTTTTCTTCCATGTACTCAATTAAGTTTCTGAGAAACAGGCTCAATGACTCTGTTTTCTTGTGGTTTCTCTGCTTTTATGACAGAGTTTTTCACTCACATCAACCTTCGAGCCATGTCCCCTGCACAGAGGGGCCATCAACCCTTATCTGGCAGGCTGACTGACTGCACAGTCAGGTTCCATGCAGGAGGTTGTTATCACCTTGCCTGCAGGCCCTGCCGTGCTGTCCCAGGCAGCTAGGCCTCTACAAAACTCCCAATACTTACAAGTCTTTTTGCTCGGTTTCTGGAATTAAAAGAGCACATTTCATTTAGCTTGTTTTATATGGGCTTTCTTCCCACAGCGTGGCTGTGGGCATGTGTGGGCATGTGCGCACAGGCCTTCCCACGATAGCTGAGCCACACATTCGTACCCCTATTTAATGAGAGCAACAATGACCTTCAGCATCTGTGCACACCCAGGGCTGGGAAGGGGCTACTTTCCAAGTTTGCCCACAAATATCCCTGCCCAAGCTGACCGCAGAGACCTGGCTCCTTCCACATTGCCGCTTCCCACACCAGCCTGGACCATAGTTTGTGCTTTCCTGGGTCAGCCATAGGTTGTGCCACGAGGTCCGATGGAATAGTACAAGGTGCCAAGGGAACACTTGGATACAGATGAGAAGGGACACCAAGAAACGAGCCACAGAGTAGGGGACGGAGACCTGGCTGGTGCAAAAGGAAGTCTGCAGGATCCATAAGAATGTTAGTGAACGGTATCCTAGGTGATCAGTGACCAATAGGAAGGCGATGATCAGTGACCAATAGGAAGACGACAATCAGTGACCAATAGGAAGGCGATGATCAGTGACCAATAGGAAGATGACAATCAGTGGCCAATAGGAAGGCGATGATCAGTGACCAATAGGAAGACGACAATCAGTGGCCAATAGGAAAGGGCGATTCAGCCTTGAGGTGCAAAGAGGCCAATGAGAGACTCGCAGCCTATTTCAAACATTCCCACCTCGCTAGCCCTTTCTCCTTCCTGAGAGGGACCCCCT